AGTTGAAGTGAATGATGGCCTTTATGTTTCTTTCCTCCAGGTTCAGGAATTTGTCAATGGCTACACCCTTCTACGAGAAATGGGATTTTCTTCTAATAGTGTAGCTGAAGCTTTACTCATGTATGACAATGACGCGGACAAGGCGTTGGCACACTTCCTTAGCAGTTCATAACGAGCACACCTGAAGCTGATGGCTTTGTGTGATAATATACTTAACAGTGATGTTAACCAATACTAGTATTATAGCTATGTTTGCCAGACTTTTTATATGATTGTAAAATAGATATCGGACCAATTTTCCTGGTCATTTGCTCCCATGTAATATGTCCTTCTGTTTTTGCAAGTATCTAACAAAATTTTGTGTTGTGTGGTAACCATTGGCAACGTTTCCTGCTTGATTCTTCTTTGCCATATTCTGCACTTGATGCCTTGACGATAAGAGAAAGTTGATCAATTGCAATTAGTTTGCCATATGCAAGAATAGTTGCTGCAAAATTTGTCTTCTTCCACCACTTAAATTTAGGAGTTGAACATTCTCATAGTATTCTGTTGCTATCTTTAGAAATATGGAGGGATTTCCTCGAGATCAACGAGACTCTAAGAAGCATTACAAAAGTGTTATCACCTGGATATCATTTGTCTGCCTAAACAATGCATTTTGCCTGCATCAAAGTACTTTGCAAAACTTAGCATGTTTATTTCTATGTTTAAAAAATGTTTTTTTAAAAAAAATTAATTTTTTTGTATTAAATTATTTTTTTCAGTATTTTTATATTATTATGATGTATAGATTCTAAAAATAAAATTTAAAAAATAAAAAATATATAATTTTAATATATTTTCAAATAAAAAATATTTTAAAATACAAAATATCAAATAGGCTCATGTGTGTGATTTTAATCTAAGTTACTTTCAAAAGATATCCTTTCAAACAATATCATCCTGGCTTGACTAACTAGATTAACATCCAACCTAATTAAAAAAAAAAACCTAATCTGAAACCCAACTCACGCCAGGTTCCGAGTTACTCGATCAATCTACATACCAGGTTGAGTTACTCGATCACTCTACATATCAGGTTTGATAAGTATGCTTGAGTTTATATTATAGTAAATAGCCTATCATTTGCTAGCATAACAATGGTTGTCCACAACCATAATGCTGTTGCGTACATGCAGTCACCAAACACTATCGATATTGATATCAAATTATTTTATTTGATAAGTTTTATATGATATAGTTTTTATTTTGAAATTGCCTATAAAAATATATTTGAATTAGGTAATATTTTTTTTATTTCAAGTTAATTTCATGTTTTATAACAATTTTCTGAAATTATAGATGAATTTATTAGTCTCCTAAAACATTTTCTAAATATTTTCAAGTTAAAAACAGGTTGAAAATAGATATGCAGATCGAACAAACTTTTCCCTTGGTTTTTTAACTAATATGGTGGCTGGAAACTAGATAATATTAAATAATATGTCATTTAGCTTTTTTTTTTTAAAATAAAATAAAATGAACGACATATCTAAAATAAAATAAAGAATTAAATGTCCAGGCGCACAAGCCTACTCTTATAGGTCCGCACATGTATCCTTACTAGATAGGTCAGACAGCATAGCAACCCAGGCACCACAATGCCTTATCTTTTCTTTTTTCTTAGAATATTTTTTAAATTAATGTGTTTTTTATTCATTTTTTTCAAAATAATGTTTACATTTATACTTAAATTAATATTTATTCTCTCTTTTATTTTATTTATTTAACATCTTTTAAATAATAATTATTTTATATACATTTATTTTTCAAGAGATTGTTTCATCTATATATTTTTTTATGTTCTTATATATAAAAATTATTTTTAGATAATATTTTTAATATGTATAATATTATATAATATTTTTTATTTCAATTAATTTCATATATATAAAAAAAATAAAATAAAATGAACGACATATCTATTAATTTTTAAAATAAAATAAAATGAACGACATATCTAAAATAAAATAAAGAATTAAATGTCCAGGCGCACAAGCCTACTCTTATAGGTCCGCACATGTATCCTTACTAGATAGGTCAGACAGCATAGCAACCCAGGCACCACAATGCCTTATCTTTTCTTTTTTCTTAGAATATTTTTTAAATTAATGTGTTTTTTATTCATTTTTTTCAAAATAATGTTTACATTTATACTTAAATTAATATTTATTCTCTCTTTTATTTTATTTATTTAACATCTTTTAAATAATAATTATTTTTTAATTATTTTATATACATTTATTTTTCAAGAGATTGTTTCATCTATATATTTTTTTATGTTCTTATATATAAAAATTATTTTTAGATAATATTTTTAATATGTATAATATTATATAATATTTTTTATTTCAATTAATTTCATATATATATCTATTTTTATTATCATTAAATTAAATAAAAAAATTAATTTTTATAAATAAATTATTAAACATAGATGTGCGAAATACCTAAGTTACGAGACCAAATATCTTGATGTATGTCTAACTCTTAATTTTTTAGTTTTTATTTTTATTTATTATTAATAAATTTTTATTTATTAATATAGATAATTTTTAATTTATTTAATTGAATATATACATAATTTTTTTTTATTTTTTAAACATTGAAAAAAAAAATATTCGTTTTTTAAGGAAAACAAATTCAGCCCACCGCAGAGCACGGGTGAAATAGCTAATATTTGCCTATATGTTAAAATTAATTACATGACTCACAAGCTCCACGGGCAAGGCTAATCCTATTAGCAAGCTCTAAGGTTACAGGTCCTCTGAAGTCTGAACTCGAGGGCAGAGCTAGCGGTGGCTGGCACCGTCGTGGCTTCCCAAAATTTATATATATCCTCGAAACAGTTCTTTTTTTAAAAAAATGATGTTGTTGTACAGAATAGTCCTTCAAAATAAAAAGAAGCTACTCCTTGGTCCTTAACATGCAATTTGTAAATCCCAAATATTAATCCATTGCCCTCAAAATAAAAAGAAAAAAGAAATAAATTTTCTAACCCCAGTACTAAGAACAAGCTAGAATAAAAGTGTGTTTGATAATGTAATAATAGTTGTTTTTAAATAATTTTTCATACTAAAATATATGTTTATGATTTTTTTTTATTTTTTAAAAATTATTTTTAATATCAGTATATTAAAATATATAAATCATATTAAATTTTAATAAAAATAAATAATAAAATATTTTTAACTTTTTTAAACATACAGATTAAACTGCATTCTCAATCATCAACTAAAAGTTAAGAACAAAGCAGACATATATCCAGATAAAATCAAGCACAGTGTAGCTAAAAGGAAAAGCGCCAACAGCAACTCATGTACTGCCAACGTTAAAATCTAAAGAATCTCACCCTCGTGAATACAATAATAAGCAGCACGAGGGATCCTCCACCGACAACATGGTATAATATCTTTTTTTGTTTTTTTCAGGGTCATCCCTTGTTATTTAATTTTATTCAATTTTTATATTATATTTAATGTTTATTTTTTTATCATGATTTTAAATATGCACGGGAGTTGATTCTTGTCATATCTCATATCACACATGGGATCGAATGAACAAAGTTACTGGGGATAATTAGATTTTTTATTATGCAAGAAATAAAAATAATGTTATTTTAATAAAAAAATAATAACAGCAAAAAATAACAGGTTTTGAGGTAATTCTCTCCTAACTAATTTTTTGATTTTTAAGTCAACTAAAATGTAAAAATGATATTATTATGATAAAAAATAATGTTGAAAAAACTAAATAGACTTTCACTTGATATTCTCTCAACTAGTCGTGTCATTGATGAACCTAAGATTTTATCCTCGTCAAATCAGTTCATTTCTCTTCCTGTTTTTTGGAACCTAGCTTAGGTGTCAAGTTTCAAGGTTCACGGGTCAATCCACTTTATTAAGTTAGGTTTTATAATGAACTTTTTTATTTTTATTTTTTATGTATTTTTAGGTTAATATTTTTAATCTCATTTCACAATATTTAATTTATTAATATTCTTGAGCCATTATTTTTTTGAATTTACTTTAAATTAAATAGTCCTGTTACAACGATTGAGTTACAAGTTTGAAGAATTATTTTGAATAAGTTTTATTATTTTTCAAATAAAATTTAATTAATTTAATTTAATTTAATTTTTCATCATTTAATTAATTTTATATTATTTTTTTATAAAATTACCTCAATCTTATGTTATTTTGGGCTGTAAATTTCTGACTTTTCTCCCCCTTTTTTTTTTTAATATTTTCCTTTAATTTTGACAATAGCACAGTCTCCTCGATTCTTTATTTGTTTTATAAAATGCAGTTGATTCAATGACCAAAATCTCAATATTTTTTTCACTTCTATAAATCAACAGAATTTCTTTAACCTGATCAACACTCGAATATTAAATTTTTTATTTTTTTTAAAAAATAATCACTTCGCCTTAAATCTCTTCTTCATCTTCTTCCCAGGAGATATCTAATTACTTCGCCTTAAATTTCTTCTTCATCTTCTTCCCAGGAGATATCTCAGCTGCCCGTGGCGTAGCCAATAACTAGTCGGAGACTAATTTGACGCTGCCCAATAATTTAAACAAAGAGAGAAGAAGACAAAGCAAAAACATGTACCAGAAGCAAAGTGGAATCTTGCTCTTGAATTACGAACGAGTCCAAATAAATAGAAGTAAGTGTGGCAAGTATAATAGACAGACAATAATAATTAACGAAGAAGAAGCGAAGAGAAGAAGAGTAATCGAGGTCAACAAGATCCACGCCTTCGTTGGAAAGCGAAAAACAAGACAAGAGACACAAATGTCATTCTCAGAGATCAACGTGAGCCATGACGACATAGGACTCTGCTCCATAGCGCACACCAAACCACAATCCTTTCTTTATATTTGTCGTTCTCTCTTCAAAAACTACTACACTAATCACTCTCTCTATGAATTTTGATTGAGAGAGCTCTAAAACATTTACGTTTCTGGATTTTAAACAATTCTTTGGCCAACACAGAGAGGGAGGGTGCATGGTCATTTTTGTCGGCTTGAATTTTGGGTTTGGTGCAATTTTCAGGTTTTTGTTTCTTGAACTTCTTATCCTCTTAAAATGTCATATATATTGTTGTATCGGTTTCACTTTGTACCCTGAATTCTTTTCACTAAAAAGGTCTTTTTTCTTTTGGCTTAAAGAGACATTGCTTTCCTACCTTTTGTTTCTCTTTTCTTGCTTTTATACGACCACGTTTTCTTTAATCCTCTGTGTTTGCATAACTTTTTCAGTTCTTTTCTATGATGCGCTTGTCATTGTGGGGTGTGTGTGAAATGCCTTTTCTTTGTTTAATAAACAATTTCAAAACTAATAATCATTGACAACAAGTTGTTAGATGATTTTGGAAATTTGATAGATTGATGAGTTATCCTGTAACACAGACCGGTTTATTTTACTTTGTATGCCGATGCAGAAGCTGAGAAGTAAAAAAGAAAGGAAAGATAATGGAGGACCTTTGGATGGTGTTTTGTGGGGAATCTGGCAATCTGGATATTGGTGGAAAGTTATCTAGTTCTGGTCTGGTGTTTCAGCCAACTTCATGTGTCAATCATGCGTTGATTATTTGTTTCAATGTTTTGCTTCTAGCCATGCTCTTGCTCACTTGCATACAAAAATCTTCTTCACCATCCAAAAAAGATAATATCCAACCTCGATTTCGGGGCTATTCAAGGCTGCGGATAGTTTCTGCTATATTCAATGGTTGTATTGGATTTGTGTATTTGTGCTTGGGCACATGGATTTTAGAAGAGCAGTTGAGGAAAAACCAGACCGCCTTACCTTTGAAAAGCTGGTTAGTGGTGTTGTTTCAGGGGTTTACATGGCTTTTAGTGGGTTTAACCATAAGCCTTCGAGGGAAGCATCTTCAAAGAACTCCCTTGCGGCTGTTGTCCATACTTGCTTTCTTGTTTGCTGGACTTGTCTGTGCTTTCTCCATATACAGTGTCATTTTAGGAAAAGCAATATTGGTTAAGATAGCTTTGGATGTCCTGTCCTTTCCAGGATCAATATTGTTATTGGTATGTGTTTACAAGGTATATAAACATGAAGGGAGTTGTGAAAGTGACCTCTACGCACCAATAAATGGCGAGGCCAACGGTGCAAGTAGAACAGATTCTGTTGTCAGAGTTACTCTATTTGCTGAAGCCGGATTCTTTAATAAAATGTCATTTTGGTGGTTGAATCCAATGATGAAAATGGGCAAGGCGAAAACTCTGGAGGATGAGGATATACCAAAGCTGCGAGTGGAAGACCGTGCAGAAAGCTGTTATTTTGAGTTTCTGGAGCAACTGAACAAGCATAAACAAGCTGAATCATCTCAACCATCTCTGTTGTGGATAATTATATTTTGCCACTGGAAAGAAATTCTAATTTCCGGACTCTTTGCTTTGCTAAAGATACTTACTTTGTCAGCTGGGCCTCTACTTCTTAATGCCTTCATTTTGGTTGCTGAAGGGAAAGCAGGTTTTAAGTATGAAGGTTATTTACTGGCCTTGACGCTCTTCTTTTTAAAGAACTTAGAGTCCTTAGCGCAAAGGCAATGGTATTTTAGGAGCAGGCTTATTGGTTTGAAAGTAAAGTCCTTGCTCACGGCTGCAATATATAAGAAGCAGCTGAGGTTATCCAATCTTGGTAGGTTGACGCACTCGAGTGGTGAAGTAATGAACTATGTTACTGTAGATGCCTACAGGATAGGTGAGTTTCCCTTCTGGTTTCATCAGACATGGACAACAAGCTTGCAGCTCTGCATCTCTCTTGTAATTCTTTACCGAGCAATGGGACTCGCAACTTTTGCTGCCTTAGTGGTTATAATAATCACCGTGCTGTGCAACGCTCCACTAGCAAAGTTACAACATAAATTTCAGTCTAAGCTTATGGTGGCGCAAGATGAGAGATTGAAAGCTTGCAACGAGGCTCTGGTTAACATGAAGGTATTGAAATTATATGCTTGGGAAACCCATTTTAAGAATGCCATAGAAAATTTGAGAGAGGTGGAGTATAAATGGTTGTCAGCAGTGCAGATGCGCAAAGCCTATAATACTTTTCTCTTCTGGTCTTCTCCTGTTTTGGTTTCTGCTGTTACCTTTGGGGCATGCTATTTCATGAAAATTCCTCTGCATGCTAATAATGTTTTCACCTTTGTGGCAACTTTGCGTCTCGTTCAAGACCCAATTAGATCAATCCCTGATGTTATTGGAGTTGTCATTCAAGCAAAGGTAGCTTTTGCTCGAATTGTAAAGTTTCTCGAAGCGCCAGAGTTGCAGAGTAGGAATGTTCTGCAAAGGCGCAATACGGGAAACCATTCTGTTTTAATCAAGTCAGCTGATTTTTCATGGGAAGAGAATTCGTCAAAGCCCACATTGAGAAATGTGAGTTTAAAGATCATGCCTGGTGAAAAGGTGGCTGTCTGTGGAGAAGTTGGATCTGGCAAGTCAACCCTTTTAGCAGCAATCCTCGGAGAAGTTCCTCATACAAAGGGAACCGTATGTGTACTATATTTTTATTGCCAAAACACATATCAATCCTTTGATAACTTTGTTGAATTTATTTTGTCATGCATTTCCAATCCTTAGCTTTTTGTTGTTTTCTCTGAACTGACGTGTCTGAATTGAGGTAATCTGTTTTTTTATTTCATGAGTGAAACAACAGTCATTTTTCTAATGAGAAACTTGTCTCGATTTTTATGACCTACAGATTCAGGTTTATGGGAGGATAGCCTATGTTTCGCAAACAGCTTGGATCCAGACGGGAACGATACAAGAGAGCATTTTATTCGGGTCTGAAATGGATGGACAACGATACCAAGACACACTTGAGCGATGCTCACTGGTAAAGGACCTTGAGTTGCTTCCTTATGGCGATCTTACTGACATAGGTGAAAGAGGAGTCAATTTAAGTGGTGGTCAAAAGCAGCGAATTCAACTAGCCCGTGCTCTCTATCAGAACGCAGATATATATCTGTTGGATGATCCATTCAGCGCTGTGGATGCAGAGACTGCTACGAGCTTATTTAATGTAATCAAAATTTCCTAAGAGCAAGCCTTGTCTCCTCTTCTTAGTCACCAGCCTCCCATGAAATCTAACATAATTCTTGGCAGGAATATATCACGGGAGCACTTTCGGGGAAAACAGTGTTGCTTGTGACACATCAAGTAGATTTCTTGCCAGCATTTGACTCTGTTATGGTTAGTATCCTTTGATTTTATCAATTCCCGGAAACAATTAGATGGTCACCGTAATTCCATAAGATAGCTTATTTTGGTAAACAGTTGATGTCAGATGGAGAAATCCTACAAGCAGCTCCTTATCATAAGTTGTTGTCCTCAAGCCAAGAATTTCTGGACCTTGTCAATGCACACAAAGAAACAGCTGGTTCTGAAAGGCTTCCAGAAGCTAATGCTCTGCAAAGACAAGGATCATCTGCCCGGGAGATCAAGAAGAGTTATGAAGAGAAGCAGCTTAAAACATCTCAAGGAGATCAACTGATTAAGCAGGAAGAAAAAGAAATAGGAGACACCGGGTTTAAGCCTTATATTGAGTATCTGAATCAAAATAAAGGATACTTGTACTTTTCTCTTGCGTCTTTTGGTCACCTGCTATTTGTGACTGGTCAGATATCGCAAAACTCTTGGATGGCAGCTAATGTTGACGATCCTCATGTTAGCACATTGCGTTTAATTGTGATCTATCTCAGTATAGGAGTTATCTCAATGCTTTTCTTGCTATGTAGATCGATCTTTACAGTTGTTTTGGGTCTTCAATCATCAAAATCGTTATTTTCCCAGTTACTACTTTCTCTTTTTCGTGCACCTATGTCTTTCTACGACTCCACACCTCTTGGAAGAATACTGAGTCGGGTAAGCATCTCACCCAGAAAATATTTTCTTCTTCATGAGAGATGACGTGTAACTAATTGATCTGGACATGTCTTTCTTGTATGTCTCATAGGTCGCATCAGACCTGAGCATTGTCGATCTTGATGTTCCTTTCAGTTTGATTTTTGCTGTTGGTGCAACAACAAATGCTTACAGTAATCTGGGAGTACTAGCTGTTGTTACCTGGCAAGTCTTATTTGTCTCCATACCAATGGTTTATCTGGCTATTCGTTTACAGGTAATTTTGTTGTTCACTTACTATAGGGGCTTCTGTCCTGATTCATTCTTTTGAGGGCACTGCCATCGAAGTCGATTTTATCTTTATATTAGAGGATCTAACAATCTTGTTATTACCTACAGAGATATTACTTTGCCTCTGCAAAAGAGTTGATGCGGATCAATGGCACAACCAAGTCTTTAGTGGCAAATCATTTAGCTGAATCTGTAGCTGGAGCCTTGACAATAAGGGCCTTTGAGGGGGAAGAACGTTTCTTCGCAAAAAACCTTCAACTCATTGACATAAATGCTAGTCCTTTCTTCCACAGTTTTGCTGCAAATGAGTGGTTGATTCAACGACTCGAAACATTCTGTGCAGCTATTCTTGCCTCTGCAGCACTCTGCGTGGTTTTGCTCCCCCCTGGAACTTTTAGCTCTGGTAAGCGTATATGAGTTATGCTTTTCATCACTATCTCATTGGAATATGATTTAATGTTCTGCAGCCGCTTCTAAGTCCTGGCTCCTGTTTCCAACACATTTAATAATTACTTCCATTGCTGCAGGATTTATTGGAATGGCACTTTCGTATGGACTTTCATTAAATATGTCCTTCGTGATGTCAATTCAAAACCAGTGCATGGTAGCAAATTACATCATTTCTGTTGAAAGGCTGAATCAATACATGCATATACCAAGTGAAGCCCCAGAGGTGGTAGAAGATAACCGTCCTCCATCTGATTGGCCAGCAGTGGGTAAAGTGGATATTTGTGATCTGCAGGTAAGATTTTCCTTTTGATTTCTGTTTAATTAGACAATTGATGAAGGCTAGCAGACTGAGAAAAGTTCGATTTGAAACAGATTAGATATAGGCCTGGCACACCACTAGTTCTTAAAGGAATCAGTTGCACATTTGAAGGAGGTCACAAGATTGGTATTGTTGGTCGAACCGGCAGTGGGAAGACTACTCTTATTGGTGCTCTATTCCGACTGGTGGAACCAACTGGAGGAAAGATCATTGTAGATGGAATAGACATCTCTAAGATTGGACTTCATGATCTGAGGTCACGATTCGGAATAATACCTCAAGATCCTACTCTCTTTAATGGGACAGTGAGGTACAACTTGGATCCCTTATCTAAGCATACTGACAAGGAGATATGGGAGGTAATTTTTCCAGTTCATTTTGCATTTTGTATCTAGTAAGAATTGCCAACGAACCACTGGAAGCGATATTTTCTGCCTGCAACTGAAAATTTTGTTTCTTATTTTGTAGGTTCTTGGAAAGTGTCAGCTTCAAGAGGCTGTGCAGGAGAAACTGCAGGGTCTAGATTCTCTAGGTATGTTTTCCTTTTCCTACATGGAAAGTCAATGATGATTGTATGATTTTGATCGTAAAGGTCAGTAAATGATTAACAACCTGCTACACAGTTGTGGAAGACGGATCAAATTGGAGCATGGGGCAGAGACAATTATTTTGCTTGGGCCGTGCCCTTTTAAGGAGAAGCAGGGTATTGGTGCTTGATGAAGCAACTGCATCAATTGATAACGCTACTGACTTGATTTTGCAAAAGACTATCCGGACTGAATTTTCAGGTTGCACTGTGATCACAGTAGCTCACAGGATACCGACGGTGATGGATTGCTCAATGGTGCTTGCCATTAGTGATGGTAAGTTTTTCTTTCCTTCAATTCTTATATAAAGAATGCTCTTCAACATGAATTTTTCCCCTGCGTGTCTGTGATTTGGCTGATTGCATTAATTAGATGCCCAGTTCAAATCTCAAGTAGAAGAAAGTCTCCGTGTAGTCCTCTTATTGGATTCGATTTGATAAAACAATAGATCAACACATCTCAACACCTAGGAAACAGCTGGACTGTAGCTATAACTTCATGAGAGCTATCTCAGAAGAATTTTCAACTTCTGTTCTATTTCAGGAAAACTAGTCGAGTACGACGAGCCAAGGAACTTAATGAAGACGGAAGGTTCACTATTTGGACAGCTTGTGAAGGAGTACTGGTCTCATTTACACGCAGCAGAATCACATTGAAGCTGACGATCATTTCTCATGCATCCCATTCCACAATCCACCCTGGCTTGGCAGCAAAGATAAAGGGTTCCAGGGCCAGGTAGGAAGAAGGATGTATAGTGTTGCAACAATGAATACTGTGGGGACGAGGAGGAAGATTGGAAAAGGGAACAGAATTTCCTATCCTTGGTTTTGTAACTGTATTCTGTGATGTTTTGAAAATTAGTAGGAAAGGGCAACCAAGCCCTTGGTGGCTTAAAGAGTAAGTATAATTAAATGAGGGGTATTGTGGTAATTGAATAATAGTTGATAAATATAAATAGGAAGAAAATAAAACAAAAGAACAAAAGAGGGAGCTGTGTTTTTTTGAGAGCAAACGTAAGAGAGGGAGAAGGAAGAAGAAGAAGAGAAAAGAGGGGAAGAGAAGGGAAA